TTATCCGGCCGAAAAAAATTTTTTTCAGAAATTTCCCATTTTTCGGAAAAAAGGAAAGGGGTTACATCATGAAAATGTGCAAAATCGTCCAAAATTCACACTTTAAATTAAGTATGCAGTTTTGTTAACCTGCTAAAAATTAACATACTGCTGCTTTCCGAATTGAAATTAATGCGTTTTTGGCTGAATAATGAGATTTTTAAATTTTGATTTGTCGAAAAATTTCATATAAAAATATTGTTAATATCGGTATAAAAATGGTAATGGACCTTCAGTCAGAAGCCTAAAAATAAGTGAAGGAGCCATTTCCGACCCCATAAATCATATATATTCTTGATCAGCATCTACAGGCCTTTCTTTCTAGCTTTATCCGGCCGAAAAAATTTTTTTTCCAGAAATTTCCCATTTTCGGAAAAAGGAAAGGGGTTACATCATAAAATTTGCAAAAATCGGCCAAAAATTCACACTTTAAATTAAGTATGCAGTTTTGTTAACCTGCTAAAAATTAACATACTGCCGCTTTCCGAATTGAAATTAATGCGTTTTTGGCTGAATTATAAGATTTTTAAATTTTGATTTGTCGAAAAATTTCATATAAAAATATTGTTAATATCGGTATAAAAATGGTAATGGACCTTCAGTCAGAAGCCTAAAAATAAGTGAAGGAGCCATTTCCGACCCCATAAATCATATACATTCTTGATCAGCATCTACAGGCCTTTCTTTCTAGCTTTATCCGGCCGAAAAAAATTTTTTTCCGAAATTTCCCATTTTTCGGAAAAAGGAAAGGGGTTACATCATGAAAATTTGCAAAAATCGGCCAAAAATTCACACTTTAAATTAAGTATGCAGTTTTGTTCACCTGCTAAAAATTAACATACTGCTGCTTTCCGAATTGAAATTAATGCGTTTTTGGCTGAATTATGAGATTTTTAAATTTTGATTTGTCGAAAAATTTCATATAAAAATATTGTTAATATCGGTATAAAAATGGTAATGGACCTTCAGTCAGAAGCCTAAAAATAAGTGAAGGAGCCATTTCCGACCCCATAAATCATATATATTCTTGATCAGCATCTACAGGCCTTTCTTTCTAGCTTTATCCGGCCGAAAAAATTTTTTTCAGAAATTTCCCATTTTTCGGAAAAAGGAAAGGGGTTACATCATGAAAATGTGCAAAATCGGCCAAAAATTCACACTTTAAATTAAGTATGCAGTTTTGTTAACCTGCTAAAAATTAACATACTGCCGCTTTCCGAATTGAAATTAATGCGTTTTTGGCTGAATTATGAGATTTTTAAATTTTGATTTGTCGAAAAATTTCGTATAAAAATATTGTTAATTTCCGTATAAAAATGGTAATGGACCTTCAGTCAGAAGCCTAAAAATAAGTGAAGGAGCCATTTCCGACCCATAAATCATATACATTCTTGATCAGCATCTACAGGCCTTTCTTTCTAGCTTTATCCGGCCGAAAAAAATTTTTTTCAGAAATTTCCCATTTTTCGGAAAAAGGAAAGGGGTTACATCATGAAAATGTGCAAAATCGTCCAAAAATTCACACTTTAAATTAAGTATGCAGTTTTGTTAACCTGCTAAAATTAACATACTGCTGCTTTCCGAATTGAAATTAATGCGTTTTTGGCTGAATAATGAGATTTTTAAATTATGATTTGTCGAAAAATTTCATATAAAAATATTGTTAATATCGGTATAAAAATGGTAATGGACCTTCAGTCAGAAGCCTAAAAATAAGTGAAGGAGCCATTTCCGACCCCATAAATCATATATATTCTTGATCAGCATCTACAGGCCTTTCTTTCTAGCTTTATCCGGCCGAAAAAATTTTTTTTCAGAAATTTCCCATTTTTCGGAAAAAGGAAAGGGGTTACATCATGAAAATGTGCAAAATCGGCCAAAAATTCACACTTTAAATTAAGTATGCAGTTTTGTTAACCTGCTAAAAATTAACATACTGCCGCTTTCCGAATTGAAATTAATGCGTTTTTGGCTGAATTATGAGATTTTTAAATTTTGATTTGTCGAAAAATTTCATATAAAAATATTGTTAATATCGGTATAAAAATGGTAATGGACCTTCAGTCAGAAGCCTAAAATAAGTGAAGGAGCCATTTCCGACCCATAAATCATATATATTCTTGATCAGCATCTACAGGCCTTTCTTTCTAGCTTTATCCGGCCGAAAAAAATTTTTTTCAGAAATTTCCATTTTTCGGAAAAAAGGAAAGGGGTTACATCATGAAAATGTGCAAAATCGGCCAAAAATTCACACTTTAAATTAAGTATGCAGTTTTGTTAATCTGCTAAAATTAACATACTGCCGCTTTCCGAATTGAAATTAATGCGTTTTTGGCTGAATTATGAGATTTTTAAATTTTGATTTGTCGAATAATTTCATATAAAAATATTGTTAATATCGGTATAAAAATGGTAATGGACCTTCAGTCAGAAGCCTAAAATAAGTGAAGGAGCCATTTCCGACCCCATAAATCATATATATTCTTGATCAGCATCTACAGGCCTTTCTTTCTAGCTTTATCCAGCCGAAAAAATTTTTTTTCAGAAATTTCCCATTTTTCGGAAAAAAGGAAAGGGGTTACATCATGAAAATGTGCAAAATCGGCCAAAAATTCACACTTTAAATTAAGTATGCAGTTTTGTTAACCTGCTAAAAATTAACATACTGCCGCTTTCCGAATTGAAATTAATGCGTTTTTGGCTGAATTATGAGATTTTTAAATTTTGATTTGTCGAAAATTTCATATAAAAATATTGTTAATATCGGTATAAAAATGGTAATGGACCTTCAGTCAGAAGCCTAAAAATAAGTGAAGGAGCCATTTCCGACCCCATAAATCATATATATTCTTGATCAGCATCTACAGGCCTTTCTTTCTAGCTTTATCCGGCCGAAAAAAATTTTTTTCAGAAATTTCCCATTTTTCGGAAAAAAGGAAAGGGGTTACATCATGAAAATGTGCAAAATCGGCCAAAAATTCACACTTTAAATTAAGTATGCAGTTTTGTTAACCTGCTAAAATTAACATACTGCCGCTTTCCGAATTGAAATTAATGCGTTTTTGGCTGAATTATGAGATTTTTAAATTTTGATTTGTCGAAAAATTTCATATAAAAATATTGTTAATATCGGTATAAAAATGGTAATGGACCTTCAGTCAGAAGCCTAAAAATTAGTGAAGGAGCCATTTCCGACCCCATAAATCATATATATTCTTGATTAGCATCAACAGGCGAAGCCATCCGGCCGAAAAGTTTTGTTCTGAAATTTCCCATTTTTTTTTAAAAGGAAAATTTGATGAAAATTTGCAAAAAGACCGACAAAAATTCAGATTTTAAATGGAGTATGCAGTTTAATTAACCTGCTAAAAATTAACATACGGCCGCTTTCCGAATTGAAATAAATGCATTTTTGGTAGTTATGAGATTTTAAATTTTGATTTGTCGAAAATGGCTTATACAAATATAGTTAATATCGGTTAAAAAAGACCTGGGCCCTGAGCACTTCTATAGCAACTGCATACATAGTATAATTGTCATGGTTAAGACTTACCTCAATAGAGGACATTCGCTTATCCTTTGTCGTCATTGCTTAATTCCTGCCAGTGTAAAGTGACCTCAATTAGGTATCATCAAAGTGAGCTTCCTTCTGTTTATCCAGATGAGGCAGAGAGAGGTAGAAAGAGAGAGTTATCAATTAAAATACACAGAGAGGGGAAAAAATAGATTTAATGAAATTAAATCCGAAATGATTAAATAAACCATTATTTCATTTGTCCCATTAGAGAAACGCACTTAACTTAATTTTCTTGTTTTTCCTATTGATTTTATTCAATATTTAATTAAAAGTAGTTTTTTGTTCATATTTGAAACTCAGAAAAAAAATAATAATAAACGTATCTGCTATACACACACAAAGGTGAAAGGGCGAAAGGGTGGAAAGGTGGATAGGAAAGGTAGGATCCGCCGGCAAGGTCGGGTTAGGAATATATGTAAATGGGCCATATATAGGGGCATTTCGAGAGAGGGGCTGGGTGGTATTTGCATCCCAGTTACAATTCAGGGGCTTAGTGGTCTACGAGTGGCCGTTTCCGTTTCCGCTTTCCGTAATATTGACTTTCTCGTGGCGCAAGGGATCTTACTTACATGGTATCTCATTTAATCCGCGTTATCAGTTGTTTAGTTAGTGTAATGTGTACAAAGCTAAAGGGGCAACGGATTCGGGATCGGGTAGGGAGTATGATTCCGACTCCGAGGAGGAATCATAAAGGACGTACATATATCAAACAATTTTGTATTTAATATTTAATTAAAAGTCATTTTTTGTTCCTAATTGAAAATCAGAAAAAAGTAATAATTAATGTATCTGATATATACACTCAATGATGAGAAGGTGGAAGGGTGGAAAGGTGGATAGAAAATGATGCTAGGCAAGGTCGGGTTAGGAATATATGTAAATGGGCCATATATAGGGGCATTTCGAGAGAGGGGCTGGGTGGTATTTGCATCCCAGTTACAATTCAGGGGCTTAGTGGTCTACGAGTGGCCGTTTCCGTTTCCGCTTTCCGTAATATTGACTTTCTCGTGGCGCAAGGGATCTTACTTACATGGTATCTCATTTAATCCGCGTTATCAGTTGTTTAGTTAGTGTAATGTGTACAAAGCTAAAGGGGCAACGGATTCGGGATCGGGTAGGGAGTATGATTCCGACTCCGAGGAGGAATCATAAAGGACGTACATATATCAAACAATTTTGTATTTAATATTTAATTAAAAGTCATTTTTTGTTCCTAATTGAAAATCAGAAAAAAGTAATAATTAATGTATCTGATATATACACTCAATGATGAGAAGGTGGAAGGGTGGAAAGGTGGATAGAAAATGATGCTAGGCATGGTCGGGTTAGGAATATATGTAAATGGGCCATATATAGGGGCATTTCGAGAGAGGGCTGGGTGGTATTTGCATCCCAGTTACAATTCAGGGGCTTAGTGGTCTACGAGTGGCCGTTTCCGTTTCCGCTTTCCGTAATATTGACTTTCTCGTGGCGCAAGGGATCTTACTTACATGGTATCTCATTTAATCCGCGTTATCAGTTGTTTAGTTAGTGTAATGTGTACAAAGCTAAAGGGGCAACGGATTCGGGTTCGGGTAGGGACTCCGAGGAGGAATCATAAAGGACGTACATATATCAAACAATTTTGTAAGAGTTATTTCGCTCAGCAGCAGCAAATCGTCGAGTATTCTATTCAGGATTCATTCAGTTAGACGAGTGCGGGGGCTCCGGGAGCTCACGAATGAGCTGTCCGCCTATTTGCTGCCCCTTGTCCGTCCGTCCGTCTGGTCTCCGTTGACTGACATCCCGTCTTACAGGATCGTGCCAGGCTTGCGCAGCGGCAGACGGCGCCGCTGGCCTAGGAGTCCCAGTCCTCGAGCCTGCTGCTTGGTAGTGCTTTCGGCTGCCTCCGTTACGCTCTCCTGCTCCGACTTGGCGACTCCATCTGCGCCGGACTCATCGCTTGCACCAGGCGCATCCTCCTTGCCGGGCTGCTCCATAGAGGCGTCAGATGACGAGTGCGCCTCCTCAGCGGGCGCTTCTGGAAGGAGAGAATATTGGTTTAAAAAAGAGTCTTGACAAACTGATATAACTAAATTCAGCCTTACCTGTGGTGGAGGTTGCTCCGGCTAGGTGGAGTCGTCGCTTGGCCAGCAACGGATTGATTTTACGGGGCGCGGGTGCGGGAACGGGAGCTGCGGCTGCCTTCGACTTGGCCGCATCAGTCTTATGAAGGGCGTTGAGGCGTGGCCTGGACTTGAGGCGATTTAGCCCGGTGACGGGGCCCGCTGGAGCGTGGGCGTCACCGCCCTCGCTGGCCGCTTCCTTCTCGCCGCCCTCCTCCTCCTTGACGTCGTTGTGGTGACTGCTGCTATCCGCGGCGGAGTCCTCGGCCGCTGCTGCCGTCTCTATTGGTGCCTCGGTGGTGACTGTGGCTCCGCGACCTAGCTTCCCGCGTGGTAGCAGCCGGTTGCTGCCGGCGCGATGAAGGTTAAAGCGGGACGGACGCACCGGCTCCGCGGGGACGGGAGCTGGGGCAGCGGCCTTGCCTCCTCCGATGAGCTGTTTCCGCCCTCGGAGCCAGAGTCTCCATCGGCGGCTGGGGCCTTGGTTGTGGTGGTGCGACTGCGTCCGCGCAGTCCCAGACCAGGACGACCGCGCAGCGTGCTGCGGGCGGTGGTAGAGGAGACAACGGCCTCGGCGGCGGAGTCTCCCTCGGCTGCGGCGCCTCCTTCTTCGCTCGGTCGCTCAGTGGTGCTCGTTGTGGTGGATCCGCGCAGGTTAAAGCGATTGCGGGCTGCACATAACAGTAGTATAAATTTAAATATTAAAATAATTAAGATTCGAAGTGAAACATGTGTTTATTCTGCAAACAATTTACTCTTCTAGCAGTACTCTCGAAAATCAAAGAGCTTCGGCTTGTAAAAGTGGCTCTAAGTGCCTAATGAGCCGTTTAGCAATCAAATATAATTTTTAGCCTCTATCTCAGAAAACTAAAACTCAGTTAAGGGCTTAAGCATTCCGTCCTTGACCCAGTCAGTAAATGTGCCTGGCTTTTGGGCGAAGACGAAATGCTAATCGCCGATCATTCAGAGGGTTAGACGAAATAAAAGGGAATCACTATCTACTTTGATCACACCAAATTAATGCAAAGTGGAAGCGATAAGCAGCTTATTAGTGTTCTCATTTTGTTTACTTTTTTAAATTCCTGCACATTAAGACTCGAATGAATTTGTGAATATTTATGTCCCTCTTCAGCTTTGCCTATTTCAAACTCAGATCACATAAGCGTTTGTAGTATTTTCTCTCTCCTATTCACTCGACTTACGTCTGCCACGCGCGAAGCCCGAGCTGATGGGCTTTACCTCCTTGGCGGCTACCACTTCCTCCTCGCCGGAGGGGCAGCAGGGGGTGCGGCCTCTGGACTGGCGGTGGTCCGGGCACCAGGACGGGATCGTCCTCCGATTGACGGGCGGGAGAAGCGGTCTAAGAGAGACAATTTATTAGAGTTCAAAAGCTTTAGGGGGCTCTTTTGTGCATCTAAACTCACTCCTGCCGGTCTTGGTGGTTTCGGTGGAAGCCGGTGCCTCGGTGGTGCTGGTCGTGGTGCTGACGCCGCCCTCCCGCAGCTTGAAGCGGTTCCGACCGGCCAATCCACTCAGTCCCGACCTGCGGCCACCGTAGAGCGACGGGGCCGCCGTTGTAGTAGTCGTTGTGGTTGTGGGCGCCTCCGTGCTGGTCGTGGTCGTGGTGGTGGTAGTGGTAGTGGTGGAAGTGCTACTGCTGGTCGAGAAGATCTGGTCGGTCAGCGTGGTCAGGCCGTCGTCCTCGTCGGTGCTGGCAGTATCCGGAACGAGGGTGGTGAATCTATCGTCGGATCCTGCGGTGTCCGCGATGGCGGTGGTCTGCTCATTGTTCAGATTCTCATTGGTCAGAATGGCGTACAGATCAAGGGCGGCCTTCTCCATGGAGGGCGTGGTCTGCTCGGCCTCCTCCTGGTCGGGGGACGTCATCTCCTGCTTGTTCTTCTCTACCTCCACCTCCGGCTCCAGCTCCTTCTCCTGCTTTCGGGCTGCCTCTGCGGCGGCGGCTGCCTGCTCCTGCTCGATGGTAATCACCGGCTTCAGGTCGGTCTCTCCACCCTTGCGGGATGCCTTGGTCTGCTTCTCGTCTGTGTTGAAGGTCTCGCTATCCACCAGCTCCAGGCTCGGGCGCTTCACACTGATTTTCTTGCGCTCAGCGGCCGTTTCAAGAGAGTCCAGGGCTGGTGTTGGCGGCACCTCGATGTTCTTGCCGCGACTCGGGAAGCGGGTGATCATGGGCAGGCGTTCCGCCTCGATGTCCTCGGTGGTTTCCGAGGATCGGCCCTTGGCCTTGCCGCTTTGCAGGCTGTTCTCGCTAGGCGTGGTTGGGGTGCTCCTCTCAATGTTGGTGTACCTGGTCTTGCCCCGCATCTCAGGCGTTTCCAAGGGGGCCTCGGCCTTCGATGAGGTGGGCTCGTCGTCCTCCTCATAGTAATAGACATACTCGTACTCATAGTCCTGGCCATTTGGACCCTTCTTGATCTCGATCCTGGACTTCTTGCTATTCTCGCTTCCCGCACTCTCGAGGGCGAAGTTCTGGTTGACGAACTCTTCGTGCGGATCCATCACAACGTCCTCGTCTAGGCTGTCGATCTTCTTAGCCGCCGTGGGCAGAGTGGTCAGTTGTGGAGCAGGTGCCTCTGTGGACGCGCTGGGCCTCTTGGCCAACTCCGCCTGAGCTGCCTCTTCGATCTCACGCCTCACCTCGGCCAGCTCCTCCTCCTCGATGGCCCTCTTGGCCTCGATGCTTTTCATCACGTCCTCGTTAATAAGGGCGCTCAGTACGGGGTTCAGTTCCGGGCGCTCCTTGGTGGGCAGCAGGTTCATGGAGTAGTCGGCAGAGTCGGTGGCCCGTATACTAATCCGGTGGGAAGTGTGAAATCCGTCCTCCCTGGCCTCAGCCTCCGGGTGCTTGTGCGAGGTCTCGAAAGGAGCTACCGGTGCTGGATTTTCTTCTACTAAGTTCGTTTGTCCCTCGTTGGCGGCGGGGGCCAGGGGATCGCTGATATTTGCTGATGAATGAGTGACCAAAATGGCCAAGAGGCAGCTTTTATTGGAGACGAAAAAGGAGGTAACAAAACGTAAATTAAAACTTTAAATAAATTATTCAAATTTTGTCTTAAACTATATGTATGATATATATATAATATATATTTTCCGTTGATCCCATTACACCTGCGATCCAAATCTCTCCGGACACTAATAGCCGGCTGGGCATTTTCATTAGCAGCGCTCCATCTCCCATTTGTGGCTCTGTGCATTCGGCCATGTCTAACCCAATTAATCTTCCGCCAAAACTCCGTAGTCAAACCGGGCTTAAACTTCAACCCCAGGCACAGTGCACTTCCAATGCGGCGTGATGGTAACGTGGAGCAGGCTAATGCTTGGTTGTTAATGACTGTGCACCATTGAAATTTAACTCATTAAATAAGTGCCACAAACTGTATCGATGAGTAGTCCACTTTGCTTAATATAAGCCACAGCTAATTATTTGCAGGCCCTTTAAAAAGTTTAAATTGTTTTGCTAACACTTTATAACTTCATTTGCATAAACAAATTTTATAATTTATGATTTAGACATCATTTGTATTCGAAATATATAATCATATTCTTTTATTTCTAAGACAATTTGTTTGTAAAAATCAAAGCTTAAAAAACTCATAATTAAGCCAAAAATGTATTAATTTCGATTCTGTTCATTTCTGTTCTGTGATAGTTTTGAGTAGGTTAATAAATCTGCATACTCAATTTAAAATGTAAAAAATTTAAAATTTTTATAAATTTTTGTAAATTTTAACGATTTACCCCTTATCATTAAAAAAAATTGACAAACATTTTTTTCTCTCCATTATGCCTGGAATGATTGACCTGTTGATACTGATCAAGAATAATATATGGTTTATAGGGTCGGAAATGACTCTTTTACTGCATCGCAAGGGTATAAAAATAGTCTTAAATTTTAGATAAGTCTGGCCTACATGGCGTATACTTAACGTGAAAACACTTAAATTAAGTATACGCCGTGTGTTTTGTAATGAAGAATAGTTAAAATTAAAATTGAAAAGTAGTTCCAGTTTAAAGCAAGTTAAGCAATTAAGATTGAAAAGTAGTTCCAGTTTAAAGCAAGTTAAGCAATTGAGATAGATAGATTAGATAGTTTTGTATTAAATGTACAAAGCGAGGTGTACACAATTATTCAGATGATTTCAGTACTATTCCCATAATTTAAGTAGAGTATAAGCTAGTTGGTCATCAGTCGTTTGGTCTTTTTTCGGGTTTTCTGGTTTTCTGCGGGCGACGTGATCGGCGCGTGCTCTTAATCAGCCACCACGGCTAGCCGGTTCCAGCTCAGCTTTTAAGCTGGAGCCCCGGCTCGGCGCTGGGAGCTTTTCGTTGTGCTGCCTCATCTCTTATCTGGCATGAAAAACCTTTCACAATTTCATTAGCCACACGGCGGAGGCGATTGCGCATGCGATTTGGTCATGTCTGGCTACCGAGTGGATCGCTCCAGCGAATCGTGCACCAGCAGCCGCACACTAGAGCCGCAACCACACACACTGCACCACAGCGCGAAGTAGACAATGTAAACAGCTCCACAATAGTTCATTGGGCTCTGCGAATCCGCATTGCAATGCAATGAAAGCGATGCTCAAGGCAAACTGGAGCCAGGAATCGCGAATTGGCCGGGTGGCCGACCGGTTTTCCTGAATAGTGAAAAAAGTGAACAGAAACAAACAAAAATAAAGAGACAATAGTTGTTAACGTTAACCCATTTCGATTCCAGACCAGATCAAACCAGATCTGGAGGTCCCCAGCTAACAGTTTTCTCCGCCAGAATACAGAGGAAAAAATGGCACATACTCATCATCACTTTGAGGACAAGATATCGATATCGTTCGTTTTCTCCACTTAAAACCAAGTTAGATTGCATTCCAATCTAAATAGTTCCTACAAATGGTATACTAATTTTGCTTTCCCAATTCATTAGCTATGATTCCCCGCTGCAGTGTTTCTTTCTGTGCGCCGATCACTGAGCTCTTGACGATAACTTTTAACATTTTGAATCGCTGCTTTGCGTTCACTTCTCCTCTCGGCGCGGTCGAACAAGTTTCGGGGACTGCCGCAAAACGAGCAACGAGCAGCAACAGGCAACAACTAAGCAACAGCAAAGGCAACACCTTACTGCAAAGGTAGACAACTTCAACTTATTTTAATTGCAACAACCCCAAAACGCGCAGCTCTCGGCTCAAAAAATGGCCATAAGCCATAAGTCGGCGACTTTCGTCGGCAAGTTGCCTTCAAGAAAAGTTATAATTATGGCCACATCGGCGTGCAAATTGCTATATGCTTAATGCCATATAACTGCAGCTGGCTCGGCGGCAGCTCCTCGGACAAGGGTCTCCGCAGGGCCTGGATCGCACATGTTATGCTTCAGGTGACAATGCGCACACCGATCACCGATCACCAAGCGGCATATACATATGTATATACATACATATTCCCATTTGCAATTTCTGCAATCGCGCAAATAAATATGTAAACATTCATATATGACGCGAAGAAACGAAGCACACCGCAGACCAGAGAGCTAATTGGCATCCGTTCAGGGCTTTAGCGGTTTATTAAAAAATTACATCTAAGTTGAAATAAGTCAACGGTGATTTGTTGTTGCTTAAGGATAGGTTAAATATTTTGTCGAATTTGTTAAGATTTTGATTGCAAGTAGAAATATATATTAATTTCGGCAATCATTGCCTATCTGGCCCTTGTCTGCCTCCCAGAAAACCTTAAAAATATATGTTTATACAGATCACGAATATATATGTTTTATGGGGCCGGAAATGACTCCTTCACGGAGTTTAAAGATTCTGACTGAAATTATGGTTCCTTGCAAGGGTATGACAATGAAAGTTTAAAATTTGTCTATTTGTCAAGAATCGATCCATTGGCAGCCAGCTAAGTCAAAAATGCATTAATTTCTATTGGGCAAAATATCTTATGATGCCTATTGAATCACAATAATACAAAGACTGCGATATTACCAACATTTAATTAATTTACTCGCAACTACAACGACATATTTCTGGGCAAAAACCAACCAGTCAATAAATGCATTCCCCACATATAATATCTGAGCTCAAGCTCACGCAAAATTCCCCGCAATTGGTCTTGGCCAGACATAATCTGGCAGCTGACTCACACAGAATGTGTGAATTGAATTCCAAGAATCGTTTTCACGCATTCGCGGCAAGATTGCCTTGACTTGAATTGCCATTAAGCACCTTCAGCCAAATTGGATCTTTTATAGCCACTTCAGAGCTTGCACTCAACAAAACCGGCTGCCGTTTGGCGAGCAGCACGCTTAGTGGATAAACTTACTTAATAGTCGCAGAAGAATTTTAGCACACTAAACTATATAAAACACTTTTTCCAACTGCAGCTTACGGTCTAGGTAATCAAGAGAAGAAGTAATAATAGGGCGGCAAGTATTATATGTACATATGACTCTGGGTTTCTCTGAATACTATTTTGTACAAAGTTGTGCTGGTAGCTTCCACGCACTGTAACCTTTGCACAACCATTGTCTTGGCCAGCAAGCAGCGGTTAACGGGTTCCGACTCCCCCATTGCAGTTCGTGCAACCAGAAATCCAAGGCAGAGAGTGGGAGTGCTTAAGTTGTTAATTTTGTGTTGCCTTTTTGGGCTCTTGGCGGGTGTGGCATGCAATTCGTATTATAATTTGGCAATTCATTTGAGCCAGCAGAGCCAAAAAGCCAGCAAAGCAAAAAGAAGGGGAGATCGGGGGTAGAAATATCTTCGAACACCGCCGTTTCAACTTCAACTTCGGATACCCCGCATCTCGTATGTATTGTCGATTCCAATTCAGGGGCCATTGACGCTTTCAAGAGGCAGTGAAGCAGCAAGCTGAGGCAACGATAACAATACGAAAACAGCACAACAAACACACACACAAAATATATTTGCAACTTTTGCAGCTATGAAATGTAAAGTAAGTTTTGCATTGTTAAATGAATGCGTCGTCGTCTTGCCAAAAGGTTTGTTGACTCCTCTGCGTCCCGCCCCTGATTCCCCCGCGAATGGATATACATATGTATATTTTGCAGCATAGTTGACCTTTCCGAAAGAGAGATCGGCACCGCGACGCCTGCTCGACCTTTTGCACAGGCATCGAAAAAAGAGAACACAATGAAAATAATGCCACGCCTCGATCGGGCCGATTCGGACATAATTCATGCATATTTACCCACTGATTGACTAACTGTCCGAGTGATTGCGCCAAGTGGCCGAGAGCGAGTGCGAGACCAAGGTTAACAGTCCGCCGCTGCAGGCCGAATTCCAAGCGGGCACATAACAGATAACTGTATCGTATCCACGCGGCGTATACGTAATCTGCTTGGTTTTTCGAAAAATTATATAAGAAACTGTTGAATCGAGGGGGATTCACCCTCTTAAAAGATATCAATTAATGGTCCCAAGCACATAAATTAATGTATGTATAAATATTTCAAATTAATTAAACCACACAAGATGTGAGAAAACGAGTCTGCCCCCATTTAAGAAGACTTTATTTTAACAGCATATTTTTTGCATTTCTAAAAACATCATTAGATCGGCCTGAAGAACTTATGTTCCCAGGAAGACCTCGACCGTCCCAAGGTACATATGTGAGTGCATTCTTGTCGATCCGCAGCATTTTTATGTGAATGCCAAGGCCCTGAGAAGCAGGTGAAGAAGCTGACCATGTCCGACTGTGGGTTCCAGGCCCCAGAGTCGTAGCAGCGGATTCCCCTTCTGTTTGACTATGACCCTTCCCCTTTTCCAACAATTAATATTCATGTATGTCCACAGTCTTCTCATCCCACTTAACCAATCAAATATCTGATATTTTGTATACAAATAATGCAGTAAGTTTTCCCAAGAAGGGGCAATTATCATAAGACCCATAATAGCCGCTAATGAGCCCTACAAATTTTGCGTAATCCACATAATCGCTAACTTGACCTTGAGGCTGCTGCAATACCCTCACTTTACTTTGATTATGATTTTATTTTAAGCATTTTATACTCACATTTTGAGCAGCATTTCGAGCTGTTTGCTGTTTGCTGTTGATGGCGTATCACGGAGTTGCTCTCCTCGTAGCTACTGCTGTGGTATCAAAGTCTCGTCAACTGCTGCCTTTTAACATAAATTTTATTGACACTTTTGAAAGTCAACTGCCGCCTGCTTCAGCTTCAATGGAAACAAAAACAAAAACAGAAAAAATTGGTATAAAAATAAATTGAATGACAGAAATTGATTTCAAAGCAAAACTTTGTAATTGTTTGTTTCGCACTTCGGATTTCTCCTGTGTGTGAATTTTTAAACATTTGCTTGTCGTTTTTGTTTTTATGTTTCTTTTTCGCTTTTTGTCTACTGATAGATGCTTGATCATTTATTGGGTTGTTTACTTTTGGTCATTTTTAAGTTGCACTTTCACTTTTCACATTTATCTTACATTTTCGGACACTATATGTTTTTTAATTTCGTATTTGTGTTTTGCATTTTCGATCAATCAACAATGTTGAATCAATTATGTCGCTCGAGTGTGTGGTGTGTGTGCTGATCGGCTTGCCAGAAGCAGCAGGAGTTTGTCTTTAAGCTTAAACTTGCACGGAAAATTGTGAAAAAAATATAAAACAAAAAATAATAAAGAACTGCCAATCGATGCGAGTACTTTTCACCACTCTCTGCGGCGCTTGACTGGCACTTAACTGGCGTTTAACATATTTGGCCGCTGGCAACTCGCCTTTATACGGCCAACGCAACCAAGCAACACACACTCGCACAACACACACACAAACACACCTGCCAGGAGGATCCCCAGTACCATGAACTTTTCCTTTATATACAAATATCGGTCGTGTATATATCTCCGGGTCTTGGGGAGCAGTCACTTTCGATTTCGCTGCCAGCTGAACGTGAAATGGCAAAATGATGAACGCTCCAACCATCGAAAACCGTTGCCGTTGCCACCTCTGCCGACTCGCGCTGCGACTGAGGCAGCGGCTGCTTTGCCGGCAGTGGCAGTGGCAGCGACAGAGACACAGGCAGAGACTGCGACTTTAGCTTCGGTGTTAGCATCGGCTCGAAAAATCGGTTGTCGGCGGGAAAGAGACGGAAGCAGAACGATCGATCGACAGGAGCGGCCGCTGCTTTGGTTATGGCCATGTTAACACTAAATCATTCACACCTGTTGCCCAGCATCTCGCATGTGTGTGTGTGTGTTTGTGTGTGTGTATGTGTGTGTGTTTGTATGTGTGTAGCCTTTCAATGGCGACCACTAGGAAGTTCAAGCCGTTTTGATATTGCCTGTTTTAAAAAAAACTGCACTAGTTTCGGTACCCGGCTTGGAGCTGTGCTTGCAGGGGAAAGCCAAAAGCCACACGGTAAAAAACCCGAGTTCCGGGACTTCACCTCTTATGACCAACATTCTTTGGGCTCCTTGAAATGAAGGATCTACGGATCTCTTGCCACAAATCTTTACAAGGTGAATACATTTAATAAGACCTTATAAAGAATCACATGCCTAAGCTTAAAATACTTATTTATATCTTCTTAAAAGACAGTTCAAATCTAACTGTAAGCTGCTTCTTTAAGACGAGAACTATGAACACGCAACATTGGGTTGCCTAAGTTAGATATAATTAACAAAACATCAATGTAAATTCCGCCATAACTGGAGTTTCTACTAATTTAATTATTCGGTACTCTTTTTAAATTCTAATGTAATTGTAATTGATAATGTTGGTCAGAAATCAAGCCCCAGCAATATGAAATTGATACGATATGTGGGTATTTTTTCCAATTTTTTCTTTGTGCAGCCGCCGACATTCACTTGCATTTTTTGGGATGCTCTCGGCCCCGTCTCTGCCCGTTCCTGCTGCTAGCCCCCTCTGCTAACTGATTTCATAAGACAAAACTGGTTGGCAGCTGGTCTCAAGGCCGTTTGCTCGTTCGTTCGTCGTTCGTCGTTCCTTCGTTCGTCGTTCCGTTGTTCGTCTTTCGTCGTTCCTCGTTGGCCATCGTCGTTGATAAACCGCATTACACATACGCCGCATTGGCCGCTCGATCGCTCGACTGCAATTAGCAGGGCACGCAACAACTGATATGCAAGCCAGGTACAAGATCACCCCCTTCGGATCCCTCGATCCACGGCTCAAGAAAATATTATCCAATCTGTAGGCTTATTGATTAACCGTTGCCCGGGACGGGTAGACTCCCAAGCATCTAAAAGCGTTAGTACGGGCTTTGGCTCTGACCGGCCTCGAAAGGTGGGGCAAACTCTCGCATTTTGGCTTACAGCACATGTGTCCAAGTGACACCTTTTTTGTACTTGCCGCCTGGTTGGCTGTGCAGGGTAACTGGGGGGTGGCCATTAAAAATATAATTATATTTATACCCTTACAGGGTATTATAATTTCAAATAGAAGTTTGCAACACAGTGAAGGAGTCATTTCCGACCCTATAAACCATATACATATATTCTTGATCAGCATCAACAGGCAGAAACTAATTTTTTGTCAACTTTTTCAAAAAATTATAAGTTAGATCGTTAAAATTTACAACAATTTATCAAAAGTTCACATTTTTTACATTTTAAATTGAGTATGCAGATTGATTAACCTATTCAAAACTAGCGCAGAACAGGCTTCCGTATCGGGATTAATGCATTTTTGGCTCAGTTATGAGTTGTTTAAGTTTTGGTTATTAGAAACAATTTTAAATACACTAATATTGATTAATATCGATCTTATAATTCGATTGGAAATTGCAGGATTATACATATGTATATAAGCTTCTGCTTTTTGAAGTTGGTTCGCTTTCTTGCTTTAAATAAATAATTACAATATTTTATTAAATGGTACTTTATCATTCCTTGTATTTGAAGCCTTTTATACATATAAACTATATATTTTTGAAGTTTTTTGTTGGGTTTTAGTTATGGCTTTAGTTGGATTTGGTAATGCCCGCAAAGTGGTTACAAATCAAGGGGCTTTTCTCTCAATTACCATGTCACCGTTTTCTCTTTAGTTTTTATTTATTTTTGCCACCGATTGATCAATGGATTTTCTAATTAGCATTGATCGATAAACTGGAACGCAAAGTTCGTTTATTTATCTTTTCCCTCCTCTTTCTCCTTTTTTATTTATTGTTTAATTTATGTTTGCGGCTTGCCAGTTTATTTATGGCTTCCTTCTTGGGCTTCTTTCTTGAGCATGTCCAGCGAACCGGGAAGTGATTCCTTGTGCCATATATGTGCGTACAATTAGACATTTTACTCCTTTAGGGCCTTGGGTATTTTTTTTTTTTGCTTGCATCAGCTGAACAGGGACATGGATTGAATTTCCAGCGATCGTTCGGGGAATACAAGTGACTCAAGCTACGCCAAGGTCATGTTGATCAAGTTACCATTCATCCACATTGCTATGGATGCCATGATGCGAACATAAAAACCCAACTAAAACCCATATAAAAAGTGTTAAGTGTACGAATATGAGAAGTAGTCTTGGGCCGGGAAGCAAACAGGATGCGTCGTGGGGAGCGCCTCGAGGTCATAAGTCGAGTTGATTGCGTTGAAACCAAAAAAACCATAATATACATAATAAAGGCTAGTGCTAATGACGGCGGCGGAGGGGCGTGGTACCTGGGCGAGGTGCCCAAGGACGGAGACAGGAGCACTGCAGTACGGGATGCTGGTTAGCGGATGGGCTGCCACCATAATGATGATTGATCGCAATGACGTCTATGATAATTACACGCGATGATTAAGGCCGGGAGCTGGCAATTTGGTAATTGCGTAAGGCGTAGCAGCAAAGCACAAAATAAAACACAATAAATTCCACTAAATTTAAGGAGAAGACGTAGGGCGTAGAGACAGGTAAGGTGCACTTGCTTATAATTTAATATAAAGGTATATCACATTTGAAGTACACAGAGATACAATTGAATTCTAATAGGGTTTTAGCTTGCGACAACAAAGCAACAACATGCTTTAGGGACATTCCATCACCCATTAATTAGCAGACTTTAAATTGTATCTCTTTTAAGTGCAATAATACAACGAAATTGAACGCTCTAATCCCAAGATCACACATTTAAGAGCGTTAAGAGCCGGACTTGATGCAATAGCCAAATCCGATGACATCACAGCTCCGCGTCAGTTTATTCCTTTTTCAATTCATCGGCCAAAAATAAAGAAAAAGCGTTACGGTTTTCAAGGAACCCAACAAAGGATCGCATACAGCGGTAGAGAGATAAAAAGACTTTGGAGCGGGCACACCAACTCTTTTTTTGTGTACTGTAAAAAAATCTCATAAAATTGTAATAAAAACAAAAGGCCAGCGGAGGGAGAAACAAGCGAGAAAGAAACAACAACTGTTATTCAACATTTCAAGTGTTCGAGAGTGTACCTGTGGATAATGTTCATACGTGCACACATCTGCATACAGATAAACGAAGCAGGAGTGGCCAACTTGGAATGTTAATGCGGCCTACAGACGTCGTTGGCGTTGCCGTTGCCGTTGCCGTTGCCAACATCTTCCATCTCCTATCTCCGATCCCCGATCCCCGATCCCAGTTCCCGAGAGCCACTCAGCTCCAAAAGAAGAAAAAAACACTCGCACGTCTCTGGCCGGCGTTGGGAGTTACGTGAACTTCGAGGGAGTAGTAGTTGGACCCAAAAAGAGCGGAGCTGGGGGCGATAACTGACCGGCAAACTGGACAAGAGCCAAAAGAATTGAGCACTTTTCCATTTCTACACTGAAAAATATATATGCAGATAGTAGTTTCAGCAGAGAGATATAAGTGTTGGTTTGGAATTAAGGTTCGTAAGCAGAGGGGACATTGCTCTTCAGCAATATTAACTATGAGTTGGTAGACATTGGTAGAGTTTTTAACTTGTTCATTTTTACCTACGATTCTCGTATGATATTTTCTTTCAGTGCGTATATCGGCTTACTTTTCTTCTCCACTTTATTTATATGTATATGTTACATACATATAATTCTGTTCAACCTAGGCGCGCATGTTGAGCTCGGCTCAACGAGTAAAATTTATAACTGTCAATTATTATGCAAGAGTTGTGTGTACCACGGGCAGTGGGAACGGGGGACGGTGCAAGCCAGGGGCGACTCCTCTTGCAGACCAATCAGGAAATACCCGATGTGGGGCCATAAACACCTCCCTCCCACGACCCCAGAAACACCGAGCCACTCGCACAATCGGAACACGTAGTGCTTCTTTCCTGGAGTCCCCTCTCGGACCACACCCCGTGGAATATACATAGCTCTTTTATTTCTTGCCACTTTGAGTTAAGTTCTTTCGGGCTTTTATGTTGTTAATGTCAATGAAGAGGTTTTGAATACCTGCGCTCTTTCCACTTCTTGGTTTTTTGCCATTCATTGTTTGATGGGCCATTCCTTCGAGTTATTCCCCCGATTCTTCTGCCGATTCCTCGGGTTCTCCAGGCCATCATAACAAGTATTTCTTGGGGCTTCTTGATTTTCGATCGTGCGGCGAGGAGTGCCTCCAGGTTCAACGAACGTCAATTGTCGGCCTTTCAAGAACGCCTGCGATGCGTTCAAAAACATTTCAGTAAACATGCCGTGCTCATAAAGATCTCGTTATTATGATCATGATGGCTTCCACGTAGGCTGCAATTAAATGAATCACTTGGACAATATTTTCTGTTCTGAGCGATCCGACCTTCCAGCGATTTCCGGCTCGAAACACGGCTTTTTATTTGTTTTGTTTTCTATTGGCGTGCGTTTTCCACCGATCGATCTCTGGGCACATGCATAATATCGAATACTGAATACTGAAGCCTCTGGCTCTCGAGTGCAGAAATGAAA